TCCCCACCCCGGGCTGTCCCCTTCCCACCCCTGGCTGTCCCCTGCCCACCCTTGGTTGTCCTCTCCCCACCCCTGGCTGTCCCCTCCCCAGGTCTGTCCAGCGGCATCCACTCACAGGGCTCTGCAGGATCATGGTGACCCGCTTCTTCTGCTCCATCAGGTTGAAGTCCTGCCGCAGGTCGGCCGCACGGTTGCGCAGGCGCAGGTACTCAGGGTCCTCCTCCGAGAAGCGGTCGAAGTACTGCTGTCCCTGTGGGGGTGGCGGGGAGGTGGCCTCGGGGACAGGCTCTTCGCTCATTTTCTTGGTGGCTTTGCGCGGCACTCCTGGAACCCTGCAAGGGGGCGGGGAGCAAGGCAGGCGTCCCGGTTAATCTCATTGGGGGTGAACCTGTGCCTGAGGTGGTCTGTGCCAAGTCCCAGAGCTGCCACTGAGCAGGCACAATGTGAAGCTATAGGAGACCTACAAGGGCCTCGCCTCTTCTGCACTCACAGCGATACCTGGTGTGATTACTGTACTTCATGGGGTTTGCTCAGAGGCGATATTTAAGGAAGCTGATTGCCAGACCTTTGCTCGTTGGTGCTGTTGAATGGGTCTGAACCACCCACCTTTGTGGCAGCAGTTGGACACTTAACCACAGTTGAACTTACAGCACTGTTAGACTAAGATATCGGTACAGGGCTCAGTGTCCATCACTCTTTCCCCAGCTAGTTGCCCAGGTCACCCTCCGGCTGGAGTGACACATGGTGTCCCATGTGGATACCTGCCTTGCAGACTGTATTGAGGTTCTGATATCGACCTCCACAGCACAAAGCTACGTGCTCAGAATCATAACTTCATCTAAGATGTGAACTAAAATGCAATATCACCATCTCATCTCATTGCCATTAACTCAGAACTGACTCACAGCTGGCCCTCCAGAGGGTCTCCAGTGACAGCAAATAGCACAGGAGGAGAACGTCCACTCTGTAGGAGGTGGGGTCCTTGTCTATTCTTTCCACTGACTTCCTGGTGGCCCATTTCTGTCTGTCCATCACCCTCACGAGGACTTATCCCCAGCAGTCCCACTTGTCCCCGTCTTTAGCTTTCTCTGTCCAGCAACTCATTACAAGAGGAGGGCTTGCTGGTGCCCTAGAAAGCAGATTCTTGTCCATGCCTGGCTGGTGACCTCTTATTCCATCTGCTGTTGGAACTCCACCCTCTGGAACTCTCTCTGTAGGGGATGGAGAAATAGATAAGCCACAAAGAAGTGGGGCCCCTCTGCCAGACAAATCCAGGGGACTTTTGTTTCCATTCTACCTTTTGGAGACAGGCAAACAGCACCATCCATGTACAGGCACATAGAGAGAGCCCCAGGGTTAGCCTAAGACAGTGGTTCCCAGATTTGGATGCACACAGAATTACCTGGAGAGCTTTACAAACCACTGATGCCGCAGGGCACGGTGGCATTAACCTGTGATGTGGCCTGGACAGAAGGCTTTTTCAAAATCTCCCCCGTGCGCTTCCAAAGGCAGCCAGGCTTGAACTACCACTGGGCTCAATGTGAAAGGCTGTGACATGTAATGGAAGGGTTCTGCCCCAGGTATTGGACATTTGGGGCCACCAGTCTCTACTTGACACACCACAGAATAGCTTTTGACCTAAGGTCCCTATGCTGTTTGGGTCCCTTGCTCCCCAATATCAATCACCACTTTGCATTGCACTTGGCATGCAGGTTTGAGGCAGCACCAACTTACACTCCTTCACCACAGGCTGCAAACCAAGACCCTGGAATCAAGAATTTGATTTGCTATTATTATTAATGCTAGGTGTCCTTGAGTTGACCCTCATGAACAACAGATCTGATCTGAGCTGTCCTCACCACCTCCGTCATGTTCAAGCCCATTTGTCGCTGTCACTGTGTCACTTCGTCTCATTGAAGATCTTCCTCTCTTTTTTCTGACCCTCTGCCTTTGCTCGCAGGTCTTTTTCAATCATGAGTCATTTCCTGTGGCTCAGTCTCTTCCAGGCAGCATAACCCCGAGCTTTGTGAGAATGAGATGCTGGACAGCAGGGAGTAAGGGAACAGGAAATGCAGTTTGCTGGAAATGGGGTGGGTGGGCGTGGGGTGTGTGATAAAGAAGTCTTTCTAAGCCAATTTGGCGGAGTGTTAGAGTGGCTGGTGTAGTACTTAGTACTGCTAGGCATGTTCCTTTCATCTAAATGAAGAAAGGAGAATTGAGGCAAAGGGTTGTTCCTCGTAGGGCTGAAAGCTAAGGTCTGAGGCGTCATTCCACTGGTGTGGGAGAGGAGTACCCCACACCCCACAGACAGCCAAGAGAACATACAGGTCTATCCTGGAGGAAGTGAAACCAGGGTGCTCCTTCGGGGCAAGGACGGCGAAACTTCAACTCACATGCTGTGGGCATGTTGTGAGGAGGGGCCAGTCCTTCACTGGGAAAGTGGAAGGTCAGAGAGAGGACGGCTCCCGACAGGCTGGACTGACACAGTGACTGTAACTATGGGTTCAAACATCTCAGACTGTGAAGATGGTGTGGCCGGGGCAGGGCTCAGAGCTGTAGTTCACAGCATTGTTGCTACGAGTCACAGTCCCCACAACAGCACCTGACAACAATCGCCAGGTACACGGCTTTGGCAAGTCACTTTCCCTTTCCAGGTCTCCCTCCACAGAGCCCTGGTGGCCTAGTAGCATGGAACTGGGCTGCCAACCCAAAGTCATGCAGTTTGAATCTACCCACTGTTCCAAGACGGAAAGATAAGCTCCTTCTGAGCTATTTACAGCCTCTGAAAACCCACTGGAGAGTCAGCTAGGAGTTTGTTCCGACTCAGCAGCACGTAACGACAACGGGTCTCCCTGTGTTCACCTCCAAATAAGAGGTGAGCCAAAGGACCTCTGGGATTCCGTGTGGCTCTGACGGGGCAGGCTCTGTCTGACATGAAGAGGGACAGAAAGGGCAGAAAGTTGGATGATCCAAATTTCCTAAAGCCAGGGACTCTCTTCCTGCTTCCTCTCCCAGAACTCGTCTTCAAGCCAGATGCCAGGAGAGAAACATCTGGAAATGGCACACGTGACCAACTGGCAATTGCCGTATGGGTTCACATTACTCCTGTGTGGGTTAGTAACTTTGCCCCCAAAGGGCTGCACCCCTCTCCCAGGCCCATCTCTGGAACATAGGAGGGTAGAGGAACACAAGGTCGACCGTGATGAGTGTGTGTGGGGCCTCTGAGACACAGTCATGACCAGATCTCCAGGCCAGGCAGGGCTGCACAGGCCTCACTCCCTGCACCCTACCTCTCTCCTCCTGGAGAGTGACTCATCAAGGCAAATGAACCTCCCTTTGCACTTTCAAAGCCCTGCATTGTTGTTATTTTTAAAACAGCCACAAGCAACTCACCACACCCTCCAATGCTGAATGTGAGCATAGGACAGAGCTGAGGCCTAAGTGCCCAATGACTCCAGTCCCACCAACTCCACACGAAGCTCGACACTCAGATTCTTGGAGGCTGGGAGCCTCTGACCACAGAGCCTGTGGCCGAGCATTCCAGACTTAAACCCCTGCTGTCTAGTTGGGGAAAGACTGGTGTTTCCCCTTCCCTTTGGACTGGCTAAGTTCTCCGAGGTCAGGTCTATGAACGCCCTAAAGCCATTCCCTTCTCCCAGAAGAAGCAGGTGGACTTATGGCTAAAGAGCTGTCAACACAAAGGCCCTTGATTTTAATCCACCCGCTGCTCCTGGAGATAAAGCACTTTCCTCCTGTGCTATTTACAGCCTCTGAAAACCTGCTGCAGAGTTGGTTTTTGCTCAATGGCACAGCAAACAAAGCACTGTTGCTGTTAGGTACCACTGAGAACAATTGATAGCAGCCCCGTGAACCACAGACCTGAGCCCTGTCCTGTGCCATCCCCACCATCGCTGACACACTCGAGCCCACCGCTGCAGTCACTGTGTCAATCGTCTCATTAGGGGTCTTACTTTTACTGACCCGCCGCCACCTTTCTAGGCATGATGTTGCTCTCTGAGGAACACCCTCTCCTAGCAACACGTCCAATGTATGAGAGATGAAACCTTGCCATCTCTGCCTCCATGGAGCACTCTGGTTACACTTTCTCCAAAACATATTTGTTTTCTTTCTGGCGGTCCATGGGATGTTCTGGACTCTTCACCACCACCACAGCTCAAAGGAATCAGTTCTTCTATCAGTCCTTCTTCATTAACCAGCTCTCAGATGTGTAGCATGTGACTGAAAAGAGTGGATCAGGCCTGAATCAGGGGCACTTTAGTCTTCAGACTGACATCATCGCTTCTCTGTATTTTTGAGCGATCCCTCACGGCACACTTGCCCAGTGCAACACATCTCCTGATCTCCAGCCAACAACAAGGCTGTTGATTGTTGATTCAAGTAAGGCGAACAATCATCAAGAACTTCAATCCTTTCTCCATCCATCTAGCATGTTGTTAGCTATTATTCCAGTGGTGAGGACTTTTGTCTCCTTGGTCTGGGTATAGGTTTCATATGAGCACAATTAAGTGCTCTGGGATTGCCATTCTTCTCAATATTAGACATAGTTTGTAACGATCCACACAATAAAATGCTTTTGCATAGTCAATAAAATACAAATAACCATTCCCGTGCTCTCTGCTTACAGCCAGAATCCATTTGACATCAGTAATCTTATCTTTGGTGTCACAGCCTCTTCCGAATCCTGCTTCTGCCTGAACTTCTGGCAGTTCTCTTGTCAATGGACTGTTCTTGCTGGTTTTGGAGGAACTTCAGCAGTATTTTGCTGCATGGTATTAAGGATATTATTTAATAACTTCCACATGCTGTGGGTTTACCTTTCTTTGGGACTGGAACAAACTGGGATCTCTTCCAGTCAATCAGGTGCCGTCCTCCACATTTTCTGGCGCTGACTGGTGAGCATGTCCAGGGTTGCATCAATTAGTTGAAACATGTCAATTGGTATCACATCAATTCCTGAGGCCTTATTTTTTGCCAATGCCTTCAATGAAGCTTGAACTTCCTACTTTATTACCATGAGCTCTTGTTCATATAGTTGTTGTTATGTGTCATCAAGTCACTTGCGACTCATAGCGACCCTATGTACAAGAGCCCTAAACATTGCTCTATCCTGTGCCAACCTCATCATCTCCGACACACTCACTCCCACCACACCAATCACAGAACTGATCCGTCTCATCAAGCGTCTTCCTCTCCTGCACCATCCCTTCACTCTCCCAAACATGATGTCCCTCTCCAAGGACCAGTCCCTCTTTGCAACATGCCCAAAGTATGTCAGATGAAGCTTCAGAATCCTTGACTCCAAGAAGCATTCTGGCTTCACCTTCTCCAGGACAAACCTGTTTGTTCTCCTAGAAGTCCATGGTATATTCAATACTCTTCTCCAGCACCACAGCTCAAAGGCATCAATTCTCTATCATCCCTAGTCGCTTTCCAACTCTCCGATGCATAGCACATAATTGGGAAGACTATAGCCCAGATCTGCACTTGCAGCAGAGGGTCAAGGACTGGAGCCTTCAATATGGATTGAGACTCAATTTTAACAAGACAAAGATTCTCACCACTGGACCAATTGGCAGCATCAGGATGGATGGTGAAGAGATTGAGATTGTTAACAACTTTAGTTTGCTTGGCTCCATGGTCAACACTCTTGGCACCAGCAGCCAGGAAATAAAAAAACGTATTGTGATGGGAAAGTCTACTCGTAGGGACCTCTCCAAAGTACTGAGAAGCAATGGTGTCACTCTGTAGACTAAGGTGCGTCTGATACAGCCTAAGGTCTTTACAATCACTTGTTACACATTGGAGATTTGGACAATGACTAGGGAGGATAGAAGGAGAATTGATGCCTTTGAGCTGTGGTGCTGGAGAAGAGTATTGAATATACCATGGACTGCCAAGAAAACAAACAGGTTCATCCTAAAGAGGGTTAAACCAGGCTGTTCTTCGGAGGCAAGGATTCTGGGGTTTCGTCTGACATACTTTGGACATGTTGTAAGGAGGGACAGGTCCTTGGAGAGGGATATCATGCTTGGGAGGGTGGAGAGATGGCGCAAGAGGGGAAGACCTTCTATGAGGTGGATTGATTCAGTGACTGGGGTAATCGGGATGGGTGTGTTAGAGGCAGTGCGACTGGCACAGGATAGAGCAGGGTTTAGGGCTGTTGTACATAGGGTCACTATGAGTTGCAAGCGACTTGATGGCACATAACAACAACAACAACAACAATGCCCAGATCCGATGCACCTTAGTCTCCAACCTGACATCGTTGCTCTGCAGTATTCTGGAGAGGTCCCTGACAGCTGACTTTCCCAATGCAATTTGTCTCTTGATCTCCTGGCTGCTGGTACCAAGAGTGTTGACTGTGGAGCCAAGCAAACTAAAATGGTCAACTATCTCAATCTCTTCACCATCCATATAGTACTTCCTGGAAATCTTCAGGGTTGACCAACTCTTTTTGGTGTAGTGACACTGTGTATTCCTTCCATCTTCTTTTGATGTATCCTCAATCATTAAAAATTTTGCCCATAGCATCTCTCCATATTGCAAGTTGAGGCTTGAATTTGTTTTTCCTTTCTTTCAGCATGAGAAATGCCAAGTGAGTTTTCCCCATTTTATTCTGACTCCAGCTCTTTGCACATTTTGTCACCATATTTTACTTTGCCAAGAGGAACCATGAAGTTCTGGGGCCAAAGGACAGCATCTCGCAGCACCTGCTGACCTGCCTTTCCTTCTCAGAGCCTGGCCCCTGGAGGGCATCTTCAAAGGGGGCTATCGGAGAGACACCGTGGTCCCTCTGTTATAAGAGTGGGGCTGCAGACAGACCCTTTAGTTTTGTGAACCAGAGTTCCATCGCACCCTTTTCTTCCTTTCTGAAGATGTTACGTGGATGATCAAGGCTGTCTGAAGGGTAATTCTATCGCTGTTATGTGCCATCAAGTCGGAAATGACTCACAGCTGAACCCTCAGTGGGTTTTTGGAGACAGCAGGTTGCACAGAAGGAGACTACCCACATTTATCCTGCAAAGCAGACGGTAGATTCGAACTGTGTGCCTTTGTGTTGGCAGCACAAGTACTTACCACTAGGCCACCAGAGCTCATAAAGCACAGATTCTGGAGCCAGCTATCAGCTTAAAATCTCAGCTATGCCACTGACTTGCCGTGGATCTTGGATGAGTTATGGAACCTTTCTGTGCCTCTTTCCCTGCTTGGAAAACAGCGGTCACAACAATTTCATTGCCCTGAAAGACCATTGTGAAGAGCAGACTTGTCGGTGTACGTGGAGTGCTTCAAACATGCCTGGCTGCATAATAAGCCCTATTAAGCATTTGCTTTGATGATGTGTCATTTACATGCTCTTAATGTTAGGAACTTGAGCAACAAGAGGTGGGGGATCCAATTGTAAACAGGTGCACATTCAATTATTGTAATTATATGTTTTAGTTAAAAGAAATCCCAAACCTAATTCAATCCTGAGCTGTGTTAACAAAAAGGACATCCAGAATAAGCTGATAGGAATGCCTACTGTTTTCTGATCAGACGGTGGAAAGCACGCGAGCCTGCAGACCATTAAAAAAAAAACAACCACACCAAAAAAAGAGGCGTTAAAGATGCCAGTGGCCCGAGGAGATCTGCCTGTGTTGGAACCAGGCAGGAATCTGGACAAACATGTATTCATAATTCAATTTCATAATTCCCAGAAGCGCTCAGTTTGCCAGACATGACTGTCTCAGTTTGCTGATAAACAAAGGCTACGGGGCTTGCTCAGGATAGCAGAAATAATCAGCAGGGCTGTTGGGACAAAATCCTGCATGCCTCCCCCCCCACCACACTGTCGCCAAATAGCTGTGAGGCGGCCGCGTGGAAGAGGGATTCGGTCCTTCCCTATAACCTCTGGGGACACAATGGTGGGAATGATTCCTGGCTCAGGAAGGGAATGCGGGACGCACTGTCTTGCTGCACGGTGAACATTCACTTCTCAGGGAAGGAATGCTAGAGGAGTACGCCTGAGTCAGGCCATGGTGTTTTCAATCCCTTGCTATGTATGTATCAGAGAGCTGGACAATGAATAAAGATGACAGGAAAGAAAGCAATGCCTTTGAGCTGTGGTGTTGGAGAAGAGCACTGACTATCTCACGGACTGCCAAAAGAACAGACAGGTATGTCTTGGAGAAGGTGTAGCCAGAGTGCTCCTTGGAGACAAGGATGGCCAAGCTTTGTCTCACATATTGTTAGGAGCTACTCCCTGGACATGGACATCACGCTTGGAAAGGTGGAGGGTCAGCGAAAGAGAGGAAGCCCCTTCACGAGATGGACTGGCACAGTGACTGCAGCAGTGGGTGGGCTCAGGTATATCAGAGGTGATGGGGGTGGCTGAGGACAGGGTTAGGGTCACTATGAGTGGTACTCGACAGCACGTAACAATGGCTCAGGATAGAGCAGGGTTCAGAGCTGTTGTACACAGGGTCACTATGAGTCAGAGTCCACTTGATGGCACCTAACAACAGCAGCAGCTGCTGGAGGCTGGGTTAGAGACCTCCAGGGTTAATGAGTTGCACTGTCAGCCCAAATGCAGGCAGTTCAAACCCACCAGCTGGTCCATGGAACAAAGCTGTGCAGTTTCCTCCCGTGTGATTTACGGCCTCTGAAAACCCCCCAGTGGCAATGAGAAGCTCCTAATGAGGTAGTGGGTGCAAGAAAGGTTAACAATTCATGGTTCCTAGTTCACCAGCTTGAGTATCAGAAAACATCCTGGTGTGATGTACCCAAGCGAAAAGGGTGCCTGCTACCCATCACCCCCAAACTGCTGGTGAATTACCAGGACGCTGGACCAGCCCCGTCCAAGGCTCGCTCTCCTCAGTGCGTGGCCGCACACCCAGGTCCGACCTCAGGATGCCGTCAGCATCTACTCGGCGTCAGATGTCTGCAGGGATCTGGAAAACAGACACAAGGGCTGTCAGAGTCTTGGGGGTCCAGTATGTCCCGGAACACTGTCCCGACAGCTCGGTGTGTTTCTGCAGCACATTTCTTCTAAGGTCTACTGGGCGCCTCTTCAGAATGGCCTTGAATTTGTCATCTGCGTTAGAAGTAAATGATGTCTACCAAGAGCTAAAGAACGCTTCCTTATCATCACAGTTGGGGTCTGGCATTCCTTCGAAGGGAAGGATTAGAAAATTCCTTTGTGGCAGGTGGCCGGGAAGGCTTTGGAGGGGAGGAGGGAGAGTGGACAGAATGGGTGCTCCTTGGTGAGCCCAGAGGCTGTGAGCTGGAAGGATTATGCCCCCCGCCTTCTGATTCCCCTCAAGACACTTCACTAAGGCAGTGAACTTAGGTGCTAGAGTCCACAGGCAGAGAGGCCTCAAGAATGGCTACCCCGGCAAGAAGCTGCACTGCAATCCTGAAGGTGCACAGTTTGAATCCACCAGATGCTCCACTGGAGGGGGGGGGATATCCTCCTGTACCAGTTGGATCCAATTTGACAGTACAACATCATCCTTCTCCTCCTCCTCCACCTCATCATCATAATGGCATACCCCACATTTTAGAGTTCTCCAGGCCACAGATTGATGGGTTCAACATAACTTCATCCAGAGTTAAAGGGGGAGAAAGGCCCAGCTATACATATGGAGTCACCATGATTTGGGAGGGAGTAAAAGGCAAATGGTTACTACCACGTTACATGTAACAATGGTTACTACCATGGGTCTTAGAATGCAACCGTTCAAGGACTGTCGAGTGGTTAATATCCTATTAAAAAGGGTGAGTGACTCCTCCCCGAATCCCGAAAATCAAGCCCTTGAGCGCGTGCATCAGGAAGGGTTCTTCCTTGGGTGAATGGAGACAGTAAACAGAGGAAATGGGAAGTGTGGCGTTCCACTGGGGCGGGGAGAGAGGGGGTCGCCATTAATGTCATGAAGCGCAGTATGAACTGTTAAACAGAAAAGCAATTCACTCTAAACTTTTATGCAAATCACAACAGAACATTAATTTTAAAAATGGTCCCTTTTCTAAGCGACACGCTGTGGCTTTCCATTTTCACCCTGGTGTTTAGACCCAGAGATGCTTGGGGCTGGCAGCACCCTTCTCCTTCCTCACCCTTGGGGGCCCAATCGAGCTTGTTCAGCTTCTTTGCCGGCTCCTCTTTGCCCGTCTGAGTTGCTGACTGATGCTGCCCAGGGCAGCGCTATTTGGAAAGACTTGGCTCACCAACAACAGACAGGAAGTACTTCAGAAGGTAGGGGGGCCCAAGACGGATGTCAGCGCCTGCAGACTGAGGCACAGCTTCCTTTCATGGGCTGAGAGGACCCAGACTGTGTAGTTCTGATATATGTCCCCCCAGTTGGGGACTTGACAGTTGTTCCTAAGAGCTGGTCTCAGTGCTTTGTGCACCCAGCTGGGGCTCCTTCCAGTGAGTTTAACTGGTAGCTAGAACAGGACACTTGGATGGCCCAGTGGGTAAGGAGCTGTGGGGCCAACACAAAGTCAGGAGGTTCTAATCCACCAGCTGCTCCAAGTGAGAAAGACAGGCTGTCTCTTCCTATATGATTTACAGCCTCTGAAGACCTGCTGCAGAGGGCTATGGGTCGGCACCTAACAGCGACAGCACCAGGTTAAAGCCATCACTGATGCTTCTGTCCACACCCAGCAGCATGAGGAAGTGGTTGGTCCTGCAGCCAGGTACACCGCGTCACTCAGAGCGTTGGCTGCCTCCTTGCCCAGAAGCCCCACTGAGCATACCAGCTCCTGCTAAGATGTCACACGCCCTGGACTATTTCCTGTGTTCACTGAGAGAATGAGTCCTTTACCCCCAGGTGACAGCGACTGTCCAGGGGAGATGAATGACAGGGCAGGGAAGTCTGTACGGAACAAAATCATCTCCATCCCAGACTCCACTGGGACTGAAGTCCCACTGCTGGAGCTCCAGTCCCTGGTGGTCTAGTGGTAAGAAGCTGCGCTGCAGTCCCAAAGACACATGGTTTGAATCCACCAAATGCTCCGTGGGAGAAGGATGGGCAGTCTTCTCCCAGTTCTATTTACTGCCTCTGAAAACCCTCTGGAGGGTCAGCTATGGGTCAGTTCTGACTGGACAGGACACAAAGAGATGGAAAAGGTCCTGTATTGTAGGCAAATGAGGTATTTGTGAAACACTCTCCTTGGCACAGAAACCGTCTGACTTCAGGGAGCTCTGGTGGTCTGGTGGATAAAGAACTGAGTTGCCAACCCAAAAGGTAAAGAGTTTGAGTCCACCAGCTGCTCCATGGGAGAGATATTGGCAGTCTTCTCTTATGTGATTTACAGCCTCTGAAAACCCTCTGGAGGGTCAGCTATGAGTCGGTTCCAACTCAGCATCACACAATAACCATCTCTGCACAGCCCACACCATCTGAGAATAGCAAATGCTAATGAAGAGAAAAGAGAGAGGCACCTGGCACCAGTGTCATACAGAGGGCCCAGGTGCCTGGGGAAGGGCTGCCACCCCGAGTGGGTCTTGAGTGACCCTGACCACACCTGGAGTCTTCCATTGCTTCAGCGTCAAGGCTGACATCACTCCCTCGTTTTCAATTTCCCCAGTGTGTGCCGAGTGTCTGACACCTGGATCCCAGAGTCCTGAGAGCCTGGCTCACCGCCACTCCCAACCCTCTCAGGTAGAGCTGAGGAGCAAGCGGCCATGTGAGTCACGATGCCCCACGGCTGGCCCTCCTGCGGCCTGCCCTCCTTGTGCAAATTGTCCTGTGAGTGGTCACCTGGTGAGGTGGGCAGGCAGATGGCAGGCTCGTGAGGGGTCTAGGACACTGGGCTGAGTCCTGCTTCGCCGCCCACTAGACTGTGAACCTAGCCAGGCCACAGGAGCACTCAGGGCCCTTTGTTTATTCAGATGTCCTTGAAACTCAAACTCGCTGCTGCTGAGCTGACTGCTAGTCATGATGACCCCAGGGGTGTCAGAGCGGGCTGTGCTCTGTTGGGGCTTTCCTCCAAGGCACTTCTGCAGGATTTGAACCTCTAGCCTTTCATTACCAGCCAAGCACATTAACGACTTGTACCACTGAGGAACTCTCAGTCAATGTGAGTAGAACTAAAACTCAACCCACACCAACTGGGACAAGATAGATGACTTAGCAAAGATGCTCTGAGCTTGGCCTATGGGTCCCAGGAATGAGTAAGGCCCCAAGGTACCGCTAGTATCTGCAGGAGATGCATCCCCATATAGCCCACTCCAAAACACGACACACGGCAGAGTGCTTAAAAGCAGCACTGCATGGTAGGTGGTCTGAAGTGTGCAAATCACCTCGCCTTCCACAAAATGTTCTTGTCCTACAACACAAATATGCCTGGCCTCCCTCTGCAGCTGTTCCTTCTACCCATTTCTCTCCCCCCCCCCCCCGGTGTGTACCATCAAATAGGATCTGACAGGCACAGGAGGAGACTGCCCCTCCTTCTCCAGCAGAGCATCTGGTGGGTTCAAACCGCATGCCTTCAGGATTACAACACAGCTTCTTGCCACTAGGCCACCAGAGCTCGCTCCTCCTTCCTGTTTTAAAGCAGAAATCCAGCAACTGTCCATAATGCTCAAAATACTGCTCCACATCGACCATGTGGAGACAGAGAAGGTAACACACCACTCATCAGACACTCAATGCCTTCTTCTCTCCAAAGTTCCCCTTCACCCACAGCTCTTATCAGACTCTGCAGTCCTCTCACAGCCCCTTCTCTTGTCTTTTGGGCCCTGCCTCTGCCATTCCCTAGGCTCCCCACCCTTTGTACCAGGAGCCTGGAGTTCCCTATCAGCAAAGGCTCTACTTGGGGTTCACCCTCGTGGGATAGCAGTCCAAGAAAACCTCATTGTTGTTGAGTTGGAAAGGACTCATAGCTGCCTTTGCAGCAAGTTTTTAGGAGGGGAGGAGATTGCCCATCCTTCTCCCACAGAGCAGCTGGTGGATTCAAACCACCTGCCTTTGGGTTGAAGCAAAACTCCCTACCCACTAAGCCGCCAGAGGCAAAGCAATTGAGATCGTAAGAAATGAAGCATGCTTTTTATCAGCCTTCTTCCCTGTCCCGGGAAGACCATGCAGATGTAATCGCTGAAGTATACATCTGTATTGTTTATGCATCATTCCTTTTGGCTCTAAAAGAAACAGAACATCTATAAAGGGGATGACAGATGCCACAGTTGTCTGACTTAATGTAAAAATCAGTTTAAGCTCTGAGCACCCTCAGGAGGAACTGCCTGACTCCTGCCTCAGTGTGACTCACAGACAGGAACAGTTTGTATTTCTAAGCACCCTGAGCCCAGCATTGCCACAGTGGTCACTTCCCACCAGCCCCACACACTGTCACCGGCCTAGCTGACCCCCCAGTAGTGTCACTCTCTCAAAGCCCCAGCCCGCTAGCCCCACAGGTCAATGCCAGCGAGGACAGCACCCACTCCAAGCTTCACACTTGAACTTGAAGCCCAGACTCACCAATGCCTGAGTGAGCTTTGCCAAGGGGACACAGCAGACTGGCATGGCCTTGCCTGTGCTACTCTGTAGAAGAAATGGAGACGGCTGAGTGAGAAGCGGGCCACACCCAGGCTGGTCAGCCCAGATAACGGCAAAACTCACGCTTCTGTGTGGTGGGACTGTGGGTGACACTTATCATAAACTTCTTAAAAGGCATCTGAATTTCCCAAAGGGCTTTAACTGCTGTGATGATTAAGGACAAAAAAAGAGAAAGAGAGAGAGAGAGAGAGAGAGAGAAG